AAGAGGACTTGGAAGCTTAAGAATAAAGGGAAGATAAAACACTTCCTTTGGTCTTGCTTCAACAATACCCTAGCCACACACACTAACCTCATAAAAAAAGTAGTGAAGGTTGATCCCATTTGCAGAAGATGTAGAAAGGAACCTGAAAACCTTGAGCATCTGCTCTTTCATTGTCCAGTTGCTGAGAAAGTATGGAAAATTGCACCAGTCAGCTGGGAAGGCCTCAATGAGAAATCAGATTGTTTTAAGGAATGGTGGACTGGTGTTTGCACCTTGTCTTGCACAACCATCTCAGAGGACAGGATCTAACTCTCAGCCTACCTCCTCTAGTGGCTGTGGAAAACAAGAAATCTCTGGGTTTTACAAAATATTAGAAGAGAAGGAAAAGCATTGGTGGATATCGCTATTTCATAATGGTTAGAGTTTTCCTCCTTGGCTTAGACTTTGTTTTTGCTGGTTTTGGTTAGGTAGGTTTTTCTAGATATTAGTTTGGTCCTGTTTGTATATTGTTAGTTCTTCTGTTGTTGGTTTACTTTTTGGGGTGGTGGGCTACTAGGCTCTTAGGAAGTGGTAGTCCTCTTTTGAAGTGCTTGTTCTCTTTTAGAGAAAGCCTTTCCTGGAATATCTTGGGTTCTTTGCTTTGCCATAGCCGAGAGATTCCCAGGCAAATCTGCTTCTTTTCCCTTTTTTAGGGCACCTATTTGGTGTGTTCCTCCATTCTTCCCTTGGGGTTGATTGTATGGCTTCTTGTCAATTTTTTGTACTTTATTTGAGTAATAGAATTTGTCGTTTCGATAAAAAAGAAAAAAAAGAAAAAAATACATTATAAATATCAAATTTAAATTTCATTTTTGTTGAAATACCATTGATTATTTGGAAGAGCAAAATGAAAAAGAAAAAATATATATATAGAAATAAAAAACCACAAGGTTAACATAAGTTACTTGAAGTTTGAAATTAGAAATCTATTATAATTAATAGGCAAATGCTAGGACTACAAACGAATCGATATCAAGTAAGTCGAACTCAAACTCAAACCTGACTGTTATAAGCCAAAATGTTTGATGAACCACTCTAGTATAACTATAATTTTACCTGAACACACCTATTATGAGCTAAATTTGAGTCAAACTAACGCTAAACTTGAAAAAGTATCTTACATGAATAGAAAAATTTTATTGAACGTTTAAACCAATCTCAAGTGAAATTCAAACTAATGATATTTAAGTTACTCTCAAGTTTTTTTCTATTTTACCAAGTCGAGCCAACGCAATAAAAGTCGAGCTCTATCAACAATAATACACTTTCTACCTCAATAAGGTTAACTCATGACTCAACTCGTTTGCAAGTCGGAAATAACACAACTATTATTATTAAACTCATTAGCATTTCAACAATGTTATATTCCTCTATATCTCTTTTTTTTTCCAAACAATTGAAAATTGTATTACCATCAAATTTATCAAAAACAATATACACATCCCTTGAGATTACAAAGCGATCAAAATAACTAGACAACACAAACACACAAACAAAACTCTGAAACGAGATATTGCAACACTCCAAAAGAAAAATACAAACTCTCCCATAAAAGAAGATTAACAACATACAATAAAAATAAAATGACAATAACTAAAACACCTTATTTTTCCTTTTTTTTTTAATAAATATTTAAAGTGGCATGAGTATAAAAAGCTACAAATTTATGAATATCTACACAAATCTCCGAAAGTTTAAAAGAAAAAAACCCAAACCGTTACAAACAATTAGTGGGCCAAATAAATGGGCTGAAGAAGTGGACAACTCATATACTAAGCAGGCCAAACTTGGTAAGGCCCTTGAAACAATGAAGTTGTGACCACCAATAGGCAACAACTAATTTGGACAACGCTTTAATCAATTTTTCACATTGAGCTAAATTTCATCCACAATCTCATGTTATCAATTGTCCCAATGGACTGAGGTGGCGGCCCAAATATGATCATGATGGGATTTATCTCCTAGGTTACTTTGTTTTGAGGATATTGCAAGTAGTATATAGGTTTGGTATACCAAACAATGAATCTCCATTTACCTTAAAGAAGTATGGATTTGAGTGAAGGGAAAAGATTGTGAATAGGCGCATGTAAGAACACAAGAGGTTTCTAAAAGAACGTTAGATTGCCATAATTAGAGTTTTAAATAAGTCAAGCTAGAGCTCATGACAATCGAGCACGTACTTGAGCCTTTACAGTGTAATCAAGACAGTCTTATCGACCAATCAAACCAAGAGATAAACCCTAGCATTAGCGAGTTTAGATAACCTAATAATTCAGAAATTTACATAAAATATTGCTTGTCAAGTTGTATCGGGCAGCTATTAGAGAGTTTGAGCTCAACTCGTTAGAGGAAAATTCGTGTCTCAAAGAGCTAATCTAGTCGACGAGCGACTTGATTCATTTAATAGCTCTAGACACAATAAAATATTAAAATCTTCAAAGAATTCACTACTAGATGAAGAAGAAATTTAGTGACTATTGAAATTGAATGACTCAATTGTATAGAAAGAACAACTTTACAAGTGAACCACAATCTCTTAGGCTCAGTTTGGTTGGGCGGATTGGGATGGATATCACCCCATTTGATAATATTTCACTCTTATTAATATTTTTGGTTAAAAAATGCAAAGCCTTTGAAAAGGACCATGGCCCAGTATTTAATCAAATTATTTCGTTATACCGCATCCCACCTTCTAGGTGGTATGTGTAATTCATCACAACTTAGCCTTTAAATTTCCATAGATGCCCTTTTCTTTTTTATGTCAATTTATCGAACTAAAATCAGAAGAGTAATGCTACAAATACATAATGTTGTACATAAGAGTGTACATAACACTCATATTGCGTGGGACCCACTAAAAATAGAAAATCAAGTGGACTCCACTACATGTGAGTGTTATGTACACCTCTATGTACATTTATTATGTACTTCTAGCATTTTTCAAATCAGAAAACCACCATATTCACAAGGAATTCATACGAGCTCCGGCGAGAAATCAACGACGGCGGTGTACGACGGCGGAGCCTAACGTCGACGGAGTGAAGGGGAGAGTCAGGCCACAGGGGTTTTGGTGGTAGCAGTAAACTAAGGGAGAAGGGGAGAGTTAGGCCCTTTTGAGGTGATTTATTACCCTTGTGCGAGCACGTCGGAGTTTTGTGTAAAGCCCGAGAGAAGACGATACGAGGACGCTACGAAGATGCAAACGCAAAAAGATCGAACGGCGTTTTTATACACCAGGCCCTTATCGGATCTGAATCGGGAACAATTCACCAGATTGGAAAATGGATCGAAAAGATCATCTTTCTATCAAAAATATATTGAGTTCACTTACGAAAAATTGAATTAACAGACAGCGAAAGCTTCACTTTGATCTCTGAGCTTTTTAGGTGGGTTGTGAGAATTATTTTCAAATTATTTCCCAAGTTCTGTTGAAGAAATCTTTAATTAATTTGTGAAAAAAGTTATGTTGCAGATTGAATGGCAACATTGGAAAATTTAATTTCACCCAAAGTGTAAAAAAGTAGTTTTAGCATAAATTCTATACTTATGATTTATTAACCAAACAAGTTAATAGGCATTTTTTATCAAAAAGATATCACTTGAGTTCTTTTATGGGAATTAATCAAACCCAATCACTTCAAGTAACCAAACTCACCCTTAACAAATTGGATCAAATTGGATAAATGAGCAAATGATAGTGTGTCCTAATCATGGATAAAATATTAATAACAAAGATATGGATAAAAATAGAACAGTGAAGCCACGCGTACGCTCCCTATTGGTCAGATTCTGATACTGTCACGGGCCCACCTCGTGCTGGCGAGTTATCCTGTCAGAAACAGTACAAAGAGTTCGACCGGATGACGTGTAAACCCGTGACGTGGCCTTAGAGCAGCCAAGGATTTTTCCTTTAAGGCAATTATATTTTGGTTACAAAAAATTGTGTGAGCCACTTGTTTTAAGTGGCTGAAAATCTCAGATCTTTGTGAAGTGGACCAGCCCACATTAATTGAACCAATTTTGCTGTAGATCTTGTTTTGTTGTCATAATTTAGAGCCCATTGGTAGAGCCCACATCTTAAATATAAGAATGGTTTTTTTTTTTTTTACTCTTTTATCTAATTAAAAAGTTGATGGGTTTAGCTAGATTAGATAGTCATGACAATTATTTATGTTCTAATTATATTTTTGTTTGACTCACTTTGTCACTGGCGATCTTGACTATAAAATTGAGTGAATATTTCAATTCCGGATTGATTATATTTTAGCTTCATCAAGTTTGGAAAGTTCGAGCTTACTGTCCACACCGAGTTTGAATCGTCAAATAATCCACACACGTGTCGTACAACCACTCAACCAGTCATGTTGATCAAACGGTTATAAATTCTTTCCCCAATTAATGTAGCTAGCATTTGGGTGAGACAATAGACCAAGTAAAATATCAGTGTACTTTTAACTCATGGACTCAATCAGCTAAAGGAATATCTGCACTCTACAGGGCATAATAGACAATGGAATCTCCTACAACTTCAAAACTACATAAAAAAAAGAAAAAAAAATAAAATAAAAGTTGTGAACAGATGAAAGTTCCAATGAGACAACAGAGATAAGAATCCTGTCCCCTTCAAAGCCACTTTCTTTTCTATCTTTTTTCTTTATCAAACTTTCAAGAAAAGTGATTAATTATTTGCATGCAAAAAAGCAACTAACAAAATAAATTAGCCTCCTTTTTTATATAGAGTAATGGTATAGGTACATAATATTGTACATAGGGATGTACATAACACTCACATTGAGTGGGACCCACTAAAAAAAATCAAGTAGACCCCACTCCATGTGAGCGTTATGTACATCTCTATGTACATATCTCTATGTACATTTATTATGTACTTGTAGCATTTCTCTTTTATATAACACCCTTCAAGTCATATCTTATTAGTTATTAGCTTGATCTCATCTACCATGACCAACAGACTCTCTCTTGCAATGGAGAGAACTGGACAGTGGTAAGTAAATTTCTTCCCTTCTTTTTTTCTTTCCTTTCTTGATTACATTTCAGACACAATCTACTTGTTTTTTTTTTATTAGTTTCTTGATAGTTCTTGTTAGTCTTACAATTTTTCCTTAAATAATTGTCTGAGTCCAGGGTTTTTTCTCAAGAAATCCCATCTGATGTCATTGTTGTAGTTGGAGAAGCCAACTTTTCTCTTCACAAGGTAAAACTTAGCAAACCCATATGAGAAAAATTGATTCTTGATCATCACAACTCATTTTCCTGTTGTGGGCTGTTCTGTTGTTATAGTTCATGCTTGTAGCCAAGAGCAACCATATAAGAAAACTAATTCTTGATTCGAAAGAACCCGACTTGGCGAAAATAAACCTTTCGGGCATACCCGGAGGCCCCAAGACCTTCGAAAAGGCGGCTAAATTCTGTTATGGAGTCAACTTTGAGATCACGGTCCACAATGTAGCTGCCTTGCGGTGCGCGGCCGAGTACCTGCAAATGACCGACAAATATTGCGATAATAATCTGGCCGGGAGGACCGATGATTTTCTGTCCCAAGTTGCCCTTACAACCTTATCCGGTGCACTTGTGGTGCTCAAGTCTTGTGAGAATCTTCTTCCCATGGCAGAGGATCTCAGGATTGTCCAAAGATGTGTTGAGATTGCAAGTGCTAAGGTACTGACTGCTGTTATTAAGGATGTAAAATGTGTGTTTTTTTTTTTTTATTAATATTAGCTTTTGATTTGAATTTTTAGATGATGTGTGCTTAGTTTTAGCTTTAGCAGCCCCATATGAGAAAAACATTGATTGTTGAAAAAGTTTCTGTAGTTTAGCTGATATTTACCATCAAGTCACCTGCTTTCATAAGGGTGTGGTTAAGAACTCGAAATCTTTAGTCGATATATCGATTTCCTTTAGGTTTAGCACCTTCATATACCGATCAATCTTCAGCTAATTAAGAAGGGTACTTAATCATCAAACACGCTACTGTTATTTCAGTCTAAGAATCTTAATCGAGCATATAGCCGATCGATCGATGGTTGCTTGCTACTTTATTCTCTCTGGTTAGTCTGAAAGGCACTCGGTTGATCGATTATTACTACTTACTGTCTATTGAGTTATTTCATTTTGCCAGGTTGTGAAAAGGATTTAGTCAGTAGAATACTAGATTGATATAGGAGCCAGAAAAACATTTAGCCAATTGTTCATTCTCACTTCAATTAATTTTCTCACTTCATCATGATCATGATTTTCACGTAGGCTTGTGTCGAGGCGAATTTCCCGAGCCGCTCGCCTCCCAACTGGTGGACAGAGGAGATAACCATCTTGGACATAAACTTCTTCTCGAAAATAATATCCTCGATGAAATCCCGAGGCGCGAAAGGCCTCACTCTAGCTAGCGCGATAATCACATACACCGAGCGATCCCTTCGCGATCTCGTTCGTGACCACTCGGGGAACGGCGCCAAGTCATCGGATTCTAGCGACTCCGACCTACGAGCCGAGCAAAGGAGACTCCTCGAGTCCATCGTGGCCTTGTTGCCTCATGAAAAATCGGCATTCCCTATAAACTTCTTATGCTGTCTCCTGAGGACGGCTATTTTCCTACGAACCGATAGTCGGTGCAAAAACGAGCTCGAGAAGCGCGTGTCAGCGATTTTGGAGCACATTACGGTTGACGATCTTTTGGTCCTATCGTTCACGTACGACGGCGAGAGATTGTTAGATCTTGATTCGGTGAGGCGGATCGTATCAGGATTCGTGGAAAAGGAGAAGAATGTGTCGGTTTTCAACGCGGGAGATTTTAGGGAGGTTTGCTCGACGTCTATGCAGAGGGTTGCTAAAACGGTAGATGCGTATCTTGGGGAGATTTCCACTTACGGCGATTTGAGCATTTCGAAATTTAATGGGATAGCGAATTTAGTTCCCAAGGCGGCTCGAAAGGTGGATGACGATCTTTACAGGGCGATTGATATCTACTTGAAGGTTAGTCTATTAGATCTATAACTCCCTTTTTTATAAAAGGATGAATAATGATTCCCTACTTAGCCCTTTGGGTGACTCGAAGTGAAGAGTACTACAACTGAGCTGCTATCCCTTCTCGTCTGATCTATAACTTTTGTCTTAAAAAGAAAGGGTTTAAGTTTAACTCATTGTGATTGAGACTTTTTTGTTTAGGCACATCCGAACCTAGACGAAATCGAGCGTGAGAAAGTGTGTAGCGTGATAGACCCGTTGAAGCTATCGTACGAGGCGAGAGTTCACGCCTCGCAAAACAAGCGATTGCCAGTGCAGATAGTTTTGCACGCGTTGTATTACGATCAGCTGAAGCTTAGAAGTGGTGCGGACGATCACAAAACTCCGGATGCAATAGTTACGAGGAATCAGCTTCAAGCGGACGTGTCGCTCGTGAAGGAGAACGAAGCACTTAGAGCCGAGCTGCTGAAGATGAAAATGTACGTACAGGACATTCAGAGAACTCAGCAGGGGACATCGTCTAAGTCGAGCAGCGGGCCAAGAAAGTCGACTTTCTTTTCGACCGTGTCTAAAACTCTCGGGAAGCTGAACCCGTTCAGGCACGGGTCGAAGGACACGTCGAATCTGGAGGATGGGGTGGATTTGACTAAGCCAAGGAGGAGGAGGTTCTCTATTTCTTAAGAGTGAAAGGTTGGAACTTTAGTTCTTGTGTAATTTGAACAAAAAAAATGAAAAACTGCTTATTTTTACTTTTTTTTTTTCTTTTTTTGGGTTTGATTTGTTGGTGTGATGGGATTGTGTAAAGAGTTTGATGATTGTGTGTTGTTTGTGAGAGTAACAAAAAATTGTTCTTGATGATGTAGTTTATATGGTGAAACTATTATATTCATTGTTGTTGAATTGTGTGTTTTGTGGTCTAGTTTTCTTGTTATGCTTTTCAAGTTGTTTTGATGTGTGCATGGAGTTAACAAATAAAATTGGCAAATTTGATATGTGGAAATTAAATTAATGTGGAAGTGAAGTCCTATTCAATCTCTGTACGGTTAGATATTCAATTTACTTTCTGTTATTTAATCTATCTATATATATAATAAGGATTAACTTAATTCATTTTTAGTAAAAATTTCCTGCCAAAATAATTAATGACTTTCCAAAATATAATTATCACACACATATTAAATACAAAATAAAAAAAAAAAAACATTCATTGCTTAGGAAGGGGATCCATGAAAAAGGGATTCTGTTTGTATTAATTTTGTCAAAATTATTTTCTAAGGTAAACCATTATTTTTATGGTAACATATTTTTGTGGTACAAGAATTCTATATATACACAAATTTCATTTAATTTGTATATTTTATTTATCTTTATAAAATAAAGGTAAAATAAATCTCATATAAATCTCATAAATACTACAGTAAAGTCATATTAGTGTATGGAGGATTATTAAAATTCACTTCATGAAATCATTACTTTCTAAATCAAAGAAACAATTAATTATCAAATTCAAAATTAATATTAACAAATAATTGGAATAAAAATGGTAGAAATTTTGTAGAAGCTAAAATATCAAGCAATTAAAGAAGGGACAAATAGGAGTTAATTACATAAGAAAATTTGACCATAAAATTTCAAATATACATAAAATGAAACTAGAATCCATCGTGAATGATACGTATCATCATATGTACAAATCAAAAATCATTGACCATCTTTTAGGGTCCATTTTACTTAGCTATAATTACATTGATATTATACCATATGATTTCAACAATTGAAAACCTCGAATTCTTGGAATAAATTTCAACAGAAATTCATTCCAAGAACTATGAAATTTTTGAGAGAATAAAAAAAATTGCCAGCAAGAGAAGAACCCAAACATTATATTCTTTTTGTGTAATATCTCTATTTTCTTTTGCTTCTCCTCGGATTTTTGGAGTTTTTTTACATGGAAAAAATTTTTCCTACATCATTTGTAGATTTTTATTTTATTTATTTAATATTATTGTTTTATTCTCTGATTTATATATTTTTGTTTTATGGATTTACGTTTTTTATTTTACTTTGATAATAAGCATTTTTTTATTAATATTTATCATTTTCAACTACAAGGCATACAAACTAAATCAAAATTTTCAACGAACCTTTTTTTTATTGTATCACAATTTTGTGGTGAAACATCTTTTTAGATATACACAAATAAAATTTTATTATTATTTTAATTTTTTATTCGTAATAAAATTTAATTCACACACGTTTCTCATATTAATTGTTTGTACTACAAGATGCTAGAATAAAATAAGATAAATACGAAATGCAATGTCTATGGAAAGCTGATTTACAAGTGTTTTTATTCATAAATAAATCTCTTATTTGAACTTAATAATATTTTTTTTAATATTGTTATGCAATAGATACAATCTAAAACTCGTTTTAAACGTAACAAATGTATTTTAAATATTACATTTTATATTTATTCCAAAGATTGGAATAAATTGGCCATAAAATGAAACTACGAGTATAAAAAAAATAAACACAAAATCAATGAGAATGTTAAAATAAAAAAGATAAATATGAAATGCAATCTTTATAGAAATTTGATTTACAAGAGTTTATATTCATAAAAATAATCTCTTACTTGAACGTAAAAACTTTTTTTGTATTGTTATGCAAATACAATCAAAAATATTCCAAATATTGGAATCAATATGATGATTAAATGAGACTAAGAGAATATAAGAGATAAACATACTGCCATAATATTTGGTTCTATTCAACTACAAATTATGCTAACTAAATTTGAGATTTTTAACGATCTTTTCTTTACGATACATAATTTTTGTGGTGAAAATCTTTTTTATTTTAGTATCATCCGAATAAACAAAATATGTGATATTGTCACACCAAGAAATATTATCACTTCAATTTCATATCATATTTTTTATTTTGACACGAATGTGAGACTTATAAACATCCAATCAAACTCATACGATAAAAGCATCTTATACAAAAATATAAAACCACATATTGTCAGGGTTAGTCTTTATCACATATAGTTGTTCTTGAAGAAATCGTTTTTTAGTAACAGTCAATTATATGTTGTTGTTTGATGTGCAACTATTAGGAAGTGATTGAAAATATTAGTTTGTGGGGACGATGAGTTACCCAATAATCAAACTAATAATGTTGTGTACAATGAGACTTTTAATAATGTATGACTTATTATTACCAACGAAAAAAAATTATGATTAATTTACAAATGTCTTACGAAATATAATTTATTTAGTAATAGATTTCAACTTATAATTATTTGTAAAAATAAATACAGCCCGTGCATCGCACGAGTTACATACTAGTACATTATAAACAACCTTGTTTTTATTTATTTTATTTAAAGTTAGTAATAATATTATCAATAATTCGTACAGGTAGGAATAAGATCAATAATACAAAGGATCAAATGAGACCAACTCTTAAAATGAGGCCAACTCTTAAAATGCGGACACTAACCTTGCACAATCAGACAACTAACCTAACACAATCAGACAACTAACCTAGCAGCATCAGACAACTAACATAGCAACTGCAGAAACTATGCATTTTCTAATTTTTTCCAATTGGTACATAAAATAAAAGTTGAGAGCATTGTTATGAATAAAAAAACTTCGAAAATGAGTCTTGATTGGGGAGATATAGAGGTTTAAAAATACAAAAAACGTATTTTTTTCTTAAAAATGAAATTAAAGCAAGAAAAAAGGCATTTTTTCGAAAATTCGGGTGGCCAAACCGCCTTCGGCAGTTTGCAGCTGCGTAGATCTCGTCGAGCTACCCAAATCAAAAAAAAATTCGTCCAAAACGGAGCTTTCTACGCAAAGTTATGGTCTTCCAAAGTTTTGCAAATTGATAAAACTAACCTAGCAGAGATATATAACTATCCTAGCAACAGAATATAACTAACCTAGCAAGAACAAAGACCTAAACTAGCACCATCAAACAACTATCCTAGCAGAAATATATAACTAACCTAGCAACAAGACACTGCTAACCTAGCAACAACAGACAACTAACCTAGCAGAGATATATAACTAACCTAGCACCAATAGACAACTAACATAACAACACCATACAACTAACATTGCAACATGATAAGACTAACCTAGCAGAGATACATAACTAACCTAGCACCAACAGACAGCTAACATAGCAACACCATACAACTAACATTGCAACATGATAAAACTAACCTAGCTGATATATATAAAACTAACCTATCACCAACATAAAGCTAACATAGCAACACCATACAATTAACATTGCAACATGATAAAACTAACCTAGCAGAGAGATATAACTAACCTAGCACCAACAGACAGATAACATAGCAACACCATACAACTAACATTGCAACATGATAAAACTAACCTAGCAGAGATATATAACTAACCTAGCATAATCATACAACTAATCTAGCACCATCAGACAATTAACCTAGCATGCTAGGTTATTAATATTTAATTGCAAGTTTAGTTGTCAACAGTCAACGCCGGAAGTCAACGGATTTTCACTGGAAGTCAACGCCGGAGTCAACGGTCAACGCCGGAAGTCAACGGTCAACACCGGAGTCAACAAGTCAAAATAATATTTAAATAATTAAAATAATAAAAAAAAAGATTAAATCTTAGCCACTCATTATGTACCAAATCTTGTGACTAGAAATGAGCCTCACGTCCTCACTTTAAGAATGTAGATGCATTGGAACCAATCCCTATATATATATATAACAAATTGCTAAAAATTTTCTTGAACTCTTAAAAAATAATTATGTATGGATGAATTAATAAATAGGAAACAGTTTGGGATGGAGAAAATATTGAATAATAAGTATATGTAAATGTTAATAGAATAAAATGTGAAATAACATCTCATCTCATGTGATGAAATAAGTAATCCCTTATATATAATTCCTGACTGCGCTGAGCCTACGTGGCTGCTTCTGGTGCTTTGAAATCCTACTTGGAGAAGAATCATGCTTCGTAATTATGTTTGGACAAATAATATTGATATATTAATAATTAATAATCTAGGTTCGGACATTCCATAAATATTATTTAGCTAACTTAGGTATTTTAATATCACTTGTACTAATATAACCCTTTAATTCTTTATAATTTTACATAGTGAGAGACTAAGTGACTAATATATCTTTTTGATTTGTTTCCTTCAATTAGCTATTGAATTATAAATGTATTTTAAAAATTGATAACTTTTGTATAATTCTTATCGGTTTTACATATATAATATATCAAATTAATAATCTTTTCATGATCTTCGGTTTGACATCCATATTGTATATATAAAATAAATAAATTATATTTGTCTTTATAATAATAAAAAATAATAATATTTATAAATATTTATTAGAAAAATAAAATTATTTCTCAATTGATATATTTATGTTTAATGTAGTTATATGTTGTAAGTTAAGAAAAAAATATTATAATATAACACACGTAAGTCACGCAAATAAAAAGTGTCATACTAAATATATAATAATATATATTTTTATAAAAGGTATTTAAATTTTCAACTACTTTTCATATTAATTTTAGATTTTAAGAAAAAAATTAGCAAGCACTCGTGTAATACACGGGCGTTGTACTAGTTTATACATTATAACAATAATGATTTCAGAATCCGGTCGGACATTGAATAAAAAATGTTGGTTCAATTATTCATTAGTCTGATTAGTTCTATCATTATTAATTAAATAATATGTTTAGTATATATATTAGTTTTAACAAAAAAAAATTGATATGCTAATTTATACATATCCAATATATTTGAATATATATACTTTTATTATAATAAGATCTTTTTTAATGCTTTAAAACTAATTTATTTATTCTTTTTTTAAAAAAAAGCGAGAAAAGATTGACCCATCCAACCAACTGGTTATTAGTTGGTTCAATCAGTTAACGATCAGTTGTGGATTCATTGACAACTAGTTCATTAGCGAACTAAATCGGTCAGTTCACCGATTCTTGGTTCGACCAACTTGTTCAATCTAGCTTTCATAACAATGGTAGTCAATAATATTTATTTATTTGTTTTTATTAACTTCTACAAATGTTATCAGTACATTTTGAATTTATGTAAAAATGATTAAAAATATAAAAAAATAAATAAAAAATGTTATCAGTACGTTTCGAATTTATTTAAAGTAATTTGTGATGTAGAAAATATTTTATCAGAATTTAATTATAAATATTAATATAATATTGAAACGTGAAATAATATTGTTAAATGATATTATATAAAGAAAATATGAAGTACTAGTCGAAAACATAAAAATCTCAATTGAATATCTCAACACTTTTAAAAGTCTTAATAAATCTAAATTGAATACACCAGGATTTATAAAGTTGTAAGAAATCCTAATACATACCGAGTATTCAATTGAGATTTTAAAAAATCTAACAAATCATGATGTATTTAAATTATTTGAGAGTATGATTTGTTAAGACTTTTTAATATTTGGTGGGATTTCTAAAACAAAAAATCTTATACGAAATCTTACTTCAAATCTCACCTCCAGACAAGATTTCACACAATTTCTCAAAAGTCTGAAAAGCTTAACAAATTTCAATTTTTTTTTTAAAAAAAAAGAATTAAAATACCACTTGAAATCTCAATTGAATAGACCAAAACTCAAAATCAAAATGAAATTTGAATAATAAATTAATAGTTTTTGGTAGAAACTTTAATTTAATCCCACATGATTGGTCATATTGTAAAATTGCTCCCAAATAGACAACAAATTTGTTTCACGGTCAGTCGTGACTTCAATTTTCTGTTTATTTACCAAACGCACCTTACTCTCTCCGCAAGGCTTCTCCAAATCGAGATAAAAACCCTATCTTCCCAAATTACTCCGTACTTCTCACGCGCCCCCTTTTCACCTCATCCACCACCATAATCCCACCGGCAATGGCCGCCGCCACAGCCATGGCTCTCGATCCGAAACCCCTCCCATCCGAACCACCACCGACGCGCCACAAGCTTGAAATCGACCCGTCCGCAGCCGCCGCGGACGCCGAAGACGATCTCTACTCCAGACTCAAATCTCTGCAGCGCCAGATCGAGTTTATCGATATACAGGAGGAGTATGTCAAGGACGAGCTGAAGAACCTCCGGCGCGAGCTTCTGCGGTCGCAGGAGGAGGTGAAGAGGATCCAATCGGTCCCGCTGGTCATTGGCCAGTTCATGGAGATGATAGATCAGAACAACGCCATAGTCGGGTCCACAACCGGTTCGAATTACTATGTTCGGATCCTGAGCACAATCAACCGCGAGCTCCTCAAGCCCTCCGCCTCCGTTGCGCTTCACCGTCACTCGAACGCCCTTGTTGATGTCCTCCCGCCTGAGGCCGACTCCAGTATCTCGCTCCTAAGCCAGTCGGAGAAGCCCGATGTTACTTATAATGTGAGTTTTAATCGTTAATTGTTCATTTGTTTTATTTGATTATTGAACTAGGGTTTGTTCTGCACGTATTTTCGTTCAATTTTTTTTTTTCGGAATTATTGAACTAGGGTTTGTTTTCTATCACTGAAATGGTAAATTTAAGACACCATGATCCTTAAATATTATTCATATCCTCTTACTAACAATTTTCTTATATACAAGGATATTTGTCTCCAATTTCCTTGCACTATTGAACTTGCTCAGTTTGGAACTGTCAAAATTGTGTTGCGCTGCATCAAGAATTTTAAGGGAATTGTTGGTCTATTGAATTGAGTAAATCTTAGAATTTGCTTGTTGCCTCATATATCATGTTTTTTGCACAGGATTGCTTTCACTTGGATTGTTTTGTATCTCACTGTTTTTGTTCCTAATCTTATCAGTATTTCATGCAGCCACTTTATATGAGTTCACGATCAGCAATGAATTTGTTTCTCTATAGTTTTTAACACTAGTTTTTGTTCTCTCTTTGTGCTTCTATCAGGATATTGGAGGATGTGACATTCAAAAGCAAGAAATACGAGAAGCTGTGGAGTTGCCCTTAACTCATCATGAGCTGTACCAACAGATCGGCATAGATCCTCCTCGCGGTGTCTTGCTCTATGGCCCACCTGGAACCGGGAAGACCATGCTTGCAAAAGCTGTCGCTCATCACACTACTGCAGCCTTTATTAGAGTTGTTGGTTCAGAGTTTGTTCAGAAGTACTTGGGAGAGGTATGTTAAATAGCTCTTTGATTATGTGTATGGACCGAAAGGTGATAATTGTTTTATGTAATATGCCTAATATGTTTGTAGTTCCACTTGAGTCATCATCTTTTTGTTCAACTGTAAGATACTTCGCATGACCTTATAAAAATAGACTGCACGGGGCTGCAGCCACACCATCTGTGCTGGGATGGAAAGAAAAAGAAATAACTTATTTCGGATAGGAGACTGATTCTCCATGCATATGGTAACTGATTGAACCTAAGCACCGCCCATTACACCCCAAACATAATTTTGATGTATGATTTTATTATTTTAAGACTAATGAATTTAATGCTTATAAAATTTCATGCTAGAGTAGATTTCCTTGTATCGTTTTGTGTTGATTTCTCATGTTTTGTGTTGTGTTGTCATTTTTTAAATGAATGTTATATGTTTAAGTGACTAGATCACACCTTCATGCTCACCTGGGCTGTTCCTATCGTTTCATTATAATTTTGCCATACATGCATAATTGCATATAGGCATGTTCAGCCTTGTATCGTTTCGTGTCAACCTTTGCTGCCTCTACAATTGGTCCAAAGGGTAGTTATGTTGGTTGAAGATTCTGTAGCTGTTGTTATGGTCTTACAATGACAGGAATGTAGGTCACTTTTGTCATGTTTTAACTTCACTTCAAAAATATGTGTAGGGTCCACGAATGGTCCGTGATGTTTTCCGTCTCGCAAAAGAAAATGCACCTGCCATTATTTTCATCGATGAGGTAGATGCGATTGCTACTGCTAGGTTTGATGCTCAAACTGGAGCTGACAGAGAGGTTCAGAGAATTCTCATGGAATTGCTTAATCAGGTAGAGTTTTGTACTTCAATACTGAACTCTGATAAATCCTTGTTGATGTGTGGGTACTCGTTACTGATTCTTTCTAGTTCCATTCATCTACTGGCCTTGAATTAAATAGCGTTCATCCAGTATTATTTACATTGGAGTGATTTGTTTTATTTGCCTTCTGCAGATGGATGGATTTGACCAGACAGTTAATGTGAAGGTTATCATGGCAACAAATAGGGCCGACACTTTGGATCCTGCCCTTCTCCGTCCTGGAAGACTTGATCGTAAGATTGAGTTCCCTTTGCCAGATAGGCGTCAAAAGAGACTTGTCTTTCAGGTGAAGCTACTCGTATATTCTATCTCACCTTATAGATTCCGCTACTCTCCTTTTTCTCCACCACTTTTTTCTCTTTTTTTCTGCAATTTACTGCCGATTGATGTGCGAATGGGGTTTTGAACAAAATGAAAGCAAGTCTTTCGAAATTCAGTTCAACTCATTCTCCCAAATGACTTCCATCTGTAGGAAGAGGAAAAGAAACATAACCAAATAGAGAAAAAAAAAAAAAAAAGTAAAAAGAGGCATCTCGTTGAGGGAAAATTAACTGGGGATATATCTTAATTCCCTTTTGTTGTCGAACATATCATAAATGGAAATGGTTTCACGTGCAGGTCTGCACTGCTAAAATGAACTTGAGCGATGAGGTGGATTTGGAGGACTACGTCTCTCGTCCAGACAAAATTAGTGCTGCTGAGGTTAGTGATTGTCTTCAAGTTATGTCAGTGTAATGTATCCACAAAGGGCCAAACCTGCTTGTTTATTTATAGTTGTTTTTTGGGTGTAACGTGTAAACCTCATTTCCGTGCCTCCATTAACCAGTAGTTTGTTTTCTTAATTTCAGATTGCGGCTATATGCCAGGAAGCAGGTATGCTTGCAGTTAGGAAGAACCGGTATGTAATACTCCCCAAAGATTTCGAGAAGGGTTACAGGTCCAACGTGAAGAAACCCGACACTGATTTTGAATTCTACAAGTGAGATCTCCATGTAAAAGTTCAGAGAGAGTTTGAATATGCTCCACTCTTAAACTACTTCTTTCGCATTATCAACCAGTCCCCAGGAATTAGAGTTTGTCTGACTTATCTTGTGCAACTGAACTTTGTAGCATGGGCGTGTAAACGTTTTTTTCTGGAGCATTGCCATTGTTTTACTTATATATTGAAATCCGTCTATTTTTATTATACTGCAAAGGTGGACATGTTGGCTTGTTTTACATATTTCTGAGTTTTATCATTGCTCTGTGATTTACAAAGGTTGTCCCAGATTTTTGGCCTAATTGTGGGTTCAAATGTAAGTTTGTGAGTTGAGAGTTGAGCTAATTTGATCTGTGCTTTTGGTGATTAATTTCTTTCGACAAATTGAACTCGCTTTTGTGAACTGCATCATTTCTTACTTCACTGGCTGGGGCCCATAGTTTTGCTTGCTTCTTACTATTCCATGATGACTGGGCATAACGTAATTATCTCGAATTATTATCAATATGTAAAAAACGGGTAAAATTATTACCGTAACGTTCAAACAATTTTGACATGATGAAATTAGTTCTGCACGAGTCTTTGTATCACAAGTTTTTCATGTATGATGATACTTTGGTTAGTCTCAAATAACGGTATAACGGATGTTCAGAATATAGGTTTGTTAAAAAATTCAAATTCTATATAAATCAGGATTTATTATTTTTTTTTTAAATAAAATTTTTGTAGGTAGTGATAAGACAAATAAAAAGGCACATAAATGGGAAGACGAGAAACTCGTTTGGGCGTCATTGACTAGAATTATATTCGATCAAAATCGATTTTATTTGTATCCAATCGCGTCTTTTGTGTCCATGATCTGCCCACACACACACACACACACACACACTATATATATATATAACGGAATTTTTAAATAAAATATAGCGTGCACACACTATATATATAATGGAATTTTTAAATAAATTTACGGTTTAATTTTAATCTAATGAATTTTATTTTTCAATAGTCATAAAACCAATAAGAATATTGAGGCCATATTTAATTTGGGGCAAAATTTGAAGTAATATATGGAGATGATTTTTCAGTTTGGTACACTAATTGCATCAATATGATGCAAAAGCTACACAAATTAACACAATCACACACACACACACACACACACACACACACACAAAAAAAAATAGTGCAAACAGATAAAAATGACCTTAGAAATTTGTTATACGAGACTATCACTAGAAAGAAGAAAACAAAACGTGAGAAAAAACATTTCACATTCAAATTTTAAGGCAAATATGTGATCAAATTCTTGGTATTCAATTTGTTGGAATTTTAGTGTAAAATTACACGGGAATCCTACGAACTGATATGTAATTTTCAGTTCTTACTATTTCAAACAAATTTTGTGTTTTAAGGCAATATATCATGTGATCAAATTCTCAATAATGATACCTAAGATGAGTTGGATTAATTCAATCTACAATTCAACCAGTGGCTGAATCAGATCTTAATCTGAATTAACAAATTAACACTTCTCACACTTAAATTAATTTCTCATTTCCCCCCCTTTTTTTTTATTAGAGGTTTTATATGAACTTGTTAATTTGTGAGTTGTAAACAAGTTGGGTCTTGATGAGTTCACCATTTTGAAATCCAAAATGATTGCAGACAAAAAGTTAGGTCACAGAATGTTGATCAAACTTTACAAAACAAGGACTATTATTATTATTAGTTATACTACTCATGTTTGTTTGACTATGATGACACCTAACAGACCTTCTACATATACCTCACACAACTTCATATTTTTTGGGGACCACCTCTTTGTAGTTTGTACAGCGCGCCATAGTGCTGGTAAATTAAACGAGTTTGGCTCGGTTCGGCTCGTTAAGGCTTGAGTTCGGCTCGAGCTCGAGGCCTTAACGAGCCAAGCTCAAGCTCATTTAAAGCTCGTTTGGCTAACGACCCGAGCTCGTCTTGGCTCGATGAGACTCAAAAATATAATTTTTATATAATTTTTTATAGTTCGACTCGTTAAAGCTCGAGATCGGCTCGTTAAGGTTCGAGCTCGAGCTCGGCTCGGCTCTTCT